TGCGCGCTTGCGCGCCAATATCTCTGTGTGTTTGAAAAGACATGGATCATCATGGTTGAACCGCCGCCCAAACCTTGCTTCGAGGATTGACTGGAATCCAATGATCTTTTCAACTTGTTAACATCGCTCCAGCATAGGAAACTTGCTTGCACGGAGCTCCCTCAAAAGTGGTTGGTGGACATAGGCCCTTCCATATTCCCCCGTACTTGATGTCCTTTGCTCACAGCCAAGACTCACTTCCCCTGAGTGGATTGGTGGGGGCCTCTTGAAAAGAATGTCACGCACTTAGATCAAAGGTCTGCTAGACATCCTAGGCCTCCATACCAACTGATGTTGCAATGCTCGATGTGCTCATCTCGCGCCAGCGATGCGCGCGCGTAGGCTGCCGCTCGAGTCCGAGCTACAGGCCGATCCAGTCCGTAGGCCCGAAGCTCCTGCGCAAATGCGCGATCCCCTCACACGGATGGTATCCCGGTCTTTGCCTTTGCATGTCATCCTGCGAGACCCATGAGCAATTTGGGCCCAACTCAGCTTGCATCAGCATAAGCTTGTTGTTTCTGGTCGACCATCTTGGGTCATGTTCCAATGTGTCATCTCAGGCTAAAGTAGTATTCTTTCGAAATCTATCTTTTTGGACGATCTACGATTTACTTAGACAAGACACTGGCCAAATAGAATCGTCAAAGACTCTAACCTTACATTGTTCCAAGAAGCTAGACAAAATTATGTCCAGAAATAATAGTATTCTATCCGGACAGAAACAGATTCTATCCTGATGAAAAAAACACCATACTTACAAAGCACATGTTGACCATTAAGATCTATCTTCCGGTCAGCTAAAATACTGCATCCGATCAACTGCAATTCATTAATATCATATCTGAACAGAACTATACTCCATCAAAACCAACCATATTCTACGCGGACACAACATGTTCCGTCCCAACATAATATAGTCTATCAGAGTCTACCATCTGAGACATCTGATTACTTAAACAATTCAAGAAGATACCAGTCTATCTTGTTTGTCTGCGAGAAACACACAAACAAACATGTTTTCAACATGTTGCCGCTGTATATTAACACACACACAATATCAACACAAACAACTATCTATACCTATTTGTCCCCAACTCAAATGTGTGGGCGGCAACGTCGGCGCAAAGTTTTCTGCTTGGTTTGCTATTTGCCCAGTAGTTTCAAGCAACCCTGTTCAAGTTGGCTAGTTGATGCTAGTTGTTTGGCCACAAAATATCCTCACTTGCCCAAATGAACCGGGCATGACAAGGTAATTCAACTTCGGGGTCATGACTAAGGGTGGACCAACTTCGGGGTCATGACTAAGGGTGGGCCAAACGCGTGCACTAAAACAACATGTTTTTCAAGCAAGTTGGCTTTCTTGGCCAACCGCAGTTAGCACAAGCCAACAAGGTTTAATGTCTGCACACTGCAGTTGCCCAAGCCGCATTGTTCTTTGTTCCGTGCCGTAGTGCGCAAGATCACACATGCCTTGCAGCAAACTATCACTCATGCATCAGGCACAAGGATTCAGAACTCAGAAGGATCAACGCTATCCCGTGCCTGCAGCTATCTCACAATGTCCTTCCTGCTTCTAAGCAGGGCAGGGGTGGAACACGTTGGCCAAGAAGAGTGGAACAAAGCGACTCACTTGCTTTGCTTTGACTTGGGGAATGATTGAACAAGCCCATCCGTGTGGAAAAGATGGCATCTGATACCAAAGTGGGAGTCTGCAGATTCCCATGATTCCCATCCCATGGCAAGGCTTTATATCACTTCTAAGGGATTCTCTTGGTATCCAAGTGGCAACCTCAAAACCATTTGTTCCCCGAGCTATGGACTCAGTCAGAAATTAACTACAGGACTGGGGTTGGTGTTTGGGTGCGCAACGCCAGAGAGCAATCTCCACTGGCTCATGTTGGCTCATACTGTGGATGGTTGCGAAATCAGCTTCTGGCACCTCCGTTAATGAAACCATGGAATTGAAACCATAACGTTTTTTTGGTATTTAACTTGGAGAATCATCAGCAACCAGGGCTTCTGAACAGTGGTGCGACATGGATTTCGTCCATAGCTCTTCAATTGCTTCAACTGCGGAATGACCTAAAGCGACGACCTGAAAATGCAACCGTGCCTGACACAAACACACATAGACCGGAATAGCACTCATCAGTTCTTGCACGCAAATCAGTTTCGCCTTGTGGTCCTTTCGTAGGAAACATAGCATTCGGTTGTTCAGTTTATCCCTTCTTGATCTACGAAAACAACAAACCCAACCACCATCTTTCCGTTCTCTTGAAAGCAGGAGGTCGATCCTCCACGTTTTAAACAAACGCCTGACCAGGGACCTTTTGGGATCTCCGTCATCTTGGCCAGGCTGGCGTCGCTCGCCAATTCGATGAATTCCCCCACAGACCCTAGACCAAACTCCAAAGCAGCCTATTCCCCTGACTTACTCCAGATTTAGTGGTGTTTTCTTCTCCTGGGGTATTGTGCTTTCGGTTTTGGGGGTCTGGTGAAATTGTAGCGTCAGCCATCACATCGGGGAGTCCGGCTCTTCCCAGCCGTAGCCAAGAGTGAGCTCTTGAGGCTCGTCCCAGCACCAACCCTTTCTTGGATACAGCCACATGCTCTTGAACCTTAGCTGCTCAAAAACGCTGTTCATGTGTACCGGCAACTCAGAAACTGCCCCATGCCGTTCCTCCACTACTGGAATGCTTGACAAAGCCTGAGTTGGAAAACGCTACGGTTCATGCCCTGATGGTGGCTCGACTGTTCGACATTCACAGCGTATATGCAAGCACACACAAGCAGCACAATGAGCGATCACACATGAATCCGACTGCAAAAGCCGCCCGTGCAAACCGGATTGGCACATCACATGTTCACGCATGTTCAGAGGGCAAAGGAAGCATTTCGGCTGTGGGGGCTATGAAGACCAAGGAACTCCACCAAACCATTTTCGGTTGCACGTGCACAGGGCACCATGACGAGGTTGTTCACCTCGGCATCCTTGATGTTGTACTCTGCCTGTGGCATCTCTCTGTCCCTGACAATACATGGACAGAAATTTAAACTAATCTACTCCTGTCGGCAGAGTCCATCGTTTTGGCAACAGCCAACTTTGATCAGCCAACCCAAAGGAACTCTCACTTTGAGTTGGTCCAATGAGGGTTGAACCGGGTGTGAATTTCAAATGGGGAGCGATGGGTGGACATCAGAATTTGGTGGCACTTCATGTCCACAAACCACTCTTGAGTTGAGTAGGGGCCCCCGGCCTGGTTCCCGCAAGTGTCAAAGAGCGCGTCGTTGGGCATAGCACCCAGGTTGCTGGGATCGTTCCAAGCCACGTAGCTCTTCAGCGGCTCAGCCAACGTGTAGCACCTACGCGAGGCGACGCTGCGCTGAGCCCACCCATAGTGTGCCAGGGGTCAAAACTTCGTCCAAAGTGCCGTTGCTTCCTTTGCAAGAATGCTTTTTTTGAGTTTGCCCAAGGATTCGTCATCATTTCTGTCAACAGGAAAGGCCCTAGCCCGTTGGCCCTAACTTCGGGAGTACTTGGGCATTGGATGGAAATGGATTGCCCAGCCAACCCAAACGCATGATGCTGGCGGGACACCATATTACCCCTTACATGTCCATCGACAGGCAGGGCTTCTTGGAAAATGGAGGCCTTTAAGGCAGACGATGGATATCTTCCCCACAAGAGGCACACGACTTCTTCGGGTCTTGCTCCCCCCCCCATTCCAGCACTTGGATGCTTGAGGTCTTAGTTTTTCACCTCGGTCCATCCCCAATTGACCCCGCCCTATGCTTCCTCGACTATTTTTCAAATAGGGGTTGTTCAACCCCTATTTTTTGCATTGACAACCCCTATTTTTTGACATTGGCCTTTGGAGTTCATTTTGGGTTGTTACTTTTTTTGATTGAAAGCTACGCCTGCTACTGCAACCTCTTAAGTAGCCTTGGGAGCCACATATTTCTCTGCCAGCAAAGTTAAATTACTATCTTCTTGATAGGGTCCTCGGGTCCCTTTTGTGTCTGCGCAACGCACCTGCTGAAAGCTTTGCGTAGGCTAGAGCCTTCATTCTAGCAAATTGTAGAATTGTCCTCTGCAATTTGCGCAGGTGGCACGAACAAGTAATTGTGTGTTGCTTTTTTCCGTTCCAATTTCCACACAGGTCCAAAAACAACGCGAGCGTAGACAAACCGTAGAAAAACCGTAGAAACACTATTGTTTGGCGTTGAACCACTATTTTTTGGCGTAGAACCACTATTTTTTGGCCACCATTTTGTGGAGTAGAACAGGCAAATTTTGCCGACCAGAGGATCAACATCCTCATCTTGGAATGGTTGCTGTGATGGGAGGGGTGTTGGCTGTCCCTGTTGTTTTTTGGTTTGGTTAAGGGGGTGGGCCAGAAGAAGGACAGAAATGGTCAGAAGAGGGTTCACCGTCGCGCGCTACATGGCCATGCCAAGAAACCAAGCGACATAGAGACCAACATTAGCCTTGTAAATAGTGAAATATGTATATACATATTCGGCTTCGGGATTCTGTGGAGCGGCCTTAGCGTCAAGTCTTTCCTCGCCCTTGTTCCAGTCCAAAACGGAGGCGGCCGCTCGTCGTCAAAAAATAGTCTTTGTCCAAAAACCGGGGTTGTCACAACGCCTATTTTTAAATAGGCTTTGGAAGCATAGGGCCCGTGTAACTAAACCCTTGCCGGGACAGTTGGTCACTTAGGTAAGCCACAAACATGCTGTCCACGTGGAGTTGGCCCTTCGATAGGAAACGCGCACTAAACTTGGCCGAACATCCCCCTCAACTCGGTCAGCTTCCTCCCGATTTGGTGTTTGGAGCACGGTAGTTTGATTCGGGGCTTCCCATTTGAACGTAACCAGAGGTTGAAACCCCCACCAATTCAGGGTTACCTGATCAGGGATTTGAATCCTTGCTTGCGGAGGACGAATGGGAAACCAAAAAAAAACACGAATCCAAACCACCAATTATATAGTAGGAAGCTGCTAAGGGGGGGGTGGGACTGGCCCTCCAAACAAAGTCCAAGGCGCTTCTGATTCTCATCCCACTCGATGTGCTGTGCGCATCGGCCCTCCTCCAACCACAGCTGCAGCGTGTCCCGCAGCGGCCGCAAGGCGCCATCCGATGTGAACCTTGGAGGCATCTATGCGTGGGAGGCTTTGTGTCAGTCTCAAAACGGTGCGTGTTTTTTCCTTTTCCGCTTTTCTCTTCTTTTCGTCTTGGCCGCCAACATCCCCAGCATCGTTTTCACCCCCGCATGTCCAACCAACATCCCCAGCATCACCAGCAAATCGTGAGTAAAACATCTAAAAAGTAGCGGAGGGGTTGGGGGGCCCTCCCCATGATGTTCGAAGAAGAGATGATTCAAATAGTGTAAAACATCTAAAAAGCAGCGGGGAGGTTGGGGGGGCGGCCATGATGTTCGAAGAAGTTATGATTCAAATAGTGTAAAACATCTAAAAGGCAGCGGGGGGGTTGGAAGGGCGGCAGCCCCCCAGATGTTCGAAGAAGTGATGATTCAAATGTGTGAAAAATCTAAAAGTAGCGAGGGGGTTGGGGGGGGCGGTGACTTCCTCTATGATGGTTGAAGAAGTGCATACATACAGACATACGTACATAGATTACATAGTTTACATAAAATGCAGTATTTTACTGTATTTTCTCGCGAAATTGGATGTTCTAAAAGTGATGATTCGAATAGGGGCGCAACTAAATCTCTGCCAAAAATCTAAAAAGTAGTGGGGGGCGCGGGGGGTTGGGGGTGGGGGTGGGGGGGGGGGGGGGGCAGCCCCCCCCATGATTATCGAAGAAGTGATGATTCAAATAGTGTAAAAAATCTAAAAGGTAGCGGGGCGTTGGGTGGGGGAGGCAGCCCCCCTCATGATAATCTAAAAAAGTGATGATTCAATGAGGGGTGCAATGATTCAAGAAAGGGTGCGATAGAATATAACAAGGACTGGGGGGGGGGGGGGGTGGCGGGGGTGACTCCCCCTATGATGTTCGAAGAAGTGCATACATGCAAACATACACACATACAGATACATAAAATGTCGTATTGGAGAGGAACTGGGAGAGCAGAGGATGCGAAAAGCCAAAGCCACCAAACGCCGCAGAAACCAGCCAGAGAGGAACTGGGTGGGAATGCAAAGGATGCGAAAAGCCAAAGCCAAAAAGCCAAAAAGCCATGAAAAGCCAAGAAGCCAAGAAGCTCCAACAAGAATAACGGAAAAAACAACAAACACAAAACAAGCCTAAAAAAGTACCCCTCCGTCTCAAAATCGGGGGCCCCTTGTGTTAACAGGAAACCAAAAGGAGACCACCTACAAGTCCCCAATTTTGAGGGGTTGATCAATCTTCCCTTCGGCCCCCAGTTTTGACCAAGGGTGCGTTTCATTGCATTCTAGTTTATCTGACATTATCAAACCGCTACATACTAAATTGAGGAGGACAGACACACACACACACAAACCTCATGTGGAAACCGGCATGTTCCTGTCAAAGTACTATCTGAAGCCTGCTCCATCATGTTCGATCATAAGCTGGTCTGTGTTCCTCATGTTTTCTCTTAAACATCACCAAGCTCACTTCATGGCCCCAAAAAGCCGTGTTTAATCCATCCTAAAACCAACATGTATGTGTGCCCTTCTTAGAGTCGGCACCTTGTTGTTGGGTTGTTGCAAGGGGACACCAGGGGGACACAAAGTATTTGGGGGGTTGATCAAAAGGTCCTTTACATGGGATGATCATTGAGGGAAACCACTACGATGATATGTCCCATATGGGAAAACAACTACCCATGGTCAAAATTGGAGGCCCTAGATGGGGTATAGATCAACCCTTTCTTTGGGGGTTCCCCATTCAAACCCAAGAGCAACGCTCCACAGATTTGTTTTGCGGTCCGAGGCGCTCGTCCCGCAGCCACCCGAACTTGCCACCGAACAGCACGCAGGTAAGGAAGTCCGAGACGGGGCTATCCAACTGCTCTGCCTCCTCGTCCTCGCCCGAAATGAGCGGCCCGTCCATGTGTCTTTTATACGGGAAAACCATGAGAATTCCCGTTCTGGTGATTTTTTATATGCAAAACCGGAAGGAAACCCGAAGCCCATTTTGGGGGCACTAAACATGGGCGAACAAGGCACACCCAACAGGATTTTTGCGCCGGCTTTGGACTGAGTCTACCAAGATGGATAAACAGATTTATGCGGAAGCTTGGTTCCCTACATATTCTTTGCAGATTTTGTTGAAATGAGGCGAATTGCGGTGTTCTTGGACCATGGCCACAGGTTGGCCGCACTTGAGGAAGCCAAGCTCCAAGTTTTAGACATGCTTTGATAGCCTCTAGTGAAACTCATGGGTCCAGAACAGAAAAGATTTGCCAAAGGCCCTTGAGGCAATTAAGCTAACTTGCTGCAGCCTTTTTCCCTCCACACAACATCGGCTTCCCAAGTGGTGGTTTGGATGGTTGGCGGAGGCGTGTCCGATCCTACAAAAGTCAGGGGTTCAAATCCCTCATCAGGTAACTCAAAGTGAATTGAAACCACTCCCCACCAAATCCCAAGTGCAGGGGGGCAAATCCAAATCCACCAATCCATTTTTTTGTTGGCTTACTCAGTTGCCCAGTGTGGAGCTGGAAATACAAGGTGATCCTGCTTTGGAACTTTGACTAATGGATCATAACCAAAACAGGGAACCGGTTATATGAAAGGTCGATCGCTTTGAACAACTAAGTATTTCTGGGATTGCCCAAAAACCAATCGGGGAGTCAGCTGGCGAACCAAAGAAAAGCCGCTGTCCTCCAAGAAGCCGTCCGCGCCAATGCTGCGGTCCCTCAGCACTTCCACCGCCCGTGGACGGCCGTTGGTGAAGAGCCCCCGCCCAGGGCCGCAGGCGCTAGCTGCCACCATCGGCAGCTGCTCCCCGCTTTCCTGGGGACAGCCAGCCTCCCTATCGGCGCTGCCCTTGCCCGGTACGCTTTTGGGGTTGTTTTACGGGTTGACTGGAAAGCCAATTGGAAACCACTTATTTCAAGCTTGGTGGTGTGGAGGTTGGGGATGGTTGCCAATTTATCTTCTGGGGTTCAAATCTCCAAACAGCCAGCCCAGACCACCAACTAAGGAGTACCTGAAACACGAGCACCCAGCCGTTCAAACGGCAATAGATTGACGGAATCAACAATCCTCAAGAAAACGGTTTGGATGTGGCGAATCTGTGGATCCTGAAAAGAGTACTAAAAAAGAACCTACAGGGGCAAGAACGGGTGAAATCCACACGTACATAATGAAAATAATCCAAACCGTTATCTAGAAATCCGAACCGCCAACTCAGGTTGCCCATCGCCATGGCTCCTCAGGCTCTCCGAGCCAATCCAGGCCTGCCTCATAGGAAGCGCCCGCGCCCAGGAACACCGAGTTCTCCATGGCACTGGCTCACCAGGCGGCCAGGCGGGTACAGGTAGAGTCTCTGTCTGCTGGCTGAAATGGACTCCAAAAACCAATTAAGGACTCTCTGTGGTGAATTTCTCAAGTAAACCAACAATTCAAACACATGGGTGAGTTGCGGGTTCCCTTGTTCCGCGCTTGCAATACCTAGAGAACCCAGCATAGCAACGCTGGAAGCGAGTCAAACACACTTACTTGTATGCCTGGCTTATCAGGGAAATGAAAACTGTCAAGACTTGGATGCGCCTGCTTGTGTGAGGTAGGTCATGTTCTAGCGGGCCATACCCATGGGCATTCCGGGGTTGAAAAGGGGTGTTTATGCCTCCTCTCTCGGAATGCTTCTGTCAGCCTGTCCTACTTGACGCGGGAGTAATTTCCACACTCTCTGCCTCTGGCGGCATTTTCTTGTCTGGCTTGATTCACAAGCTGGGTGGCACAGCCACTGCATGCATGCCAGTTCCGCGTTGCAATGGCCCCAAATCGAGTACCCTTCCACGTCAAAAGTCCCGAACATGGACCCCATGCGTAGGTACGTGAGGTTTCCGTTACGCCGCGAACCCGTCATGCAAAACCGGAGATGTATCTTGAGGTGGGTTGATTGGAGATGTGGAGATTGTATACCACTTGTAAAACCTAGCTCTGCCCTCCTTGTATATCAGCTCCCCTCTGATTGGTGGTTTGCTGGTTTGGCGGCTAGGATGGCTTCTCATTCACCGGTGCAAGTGCCCAAACCACCACAAACCACCAAGGGGCTATCCACCTGAAAATGCTTGGCAACACAGCGGCAAGGGTAATGACTATACTCCCCTTGAAAAAACCTAAAGGGGCTGGAGCAGCATGCTCAAAGGGTTAATTTGGGTTTCAGCTAAACCAGCCATCGAAGACCAAAAAAAAACAGCTAGAAAGCTCACAAGTCATAAACGTGGTTCGATATATATTTTTTCCCCAAGGTCAACTTTTTAGCAGGCGTTGCCATGCATGGGCACGCGGCTGTCCAAGCCCGAGTGACTCGAAATATTCAAGGGTTCCTAAAAAGGATACAAAATACCTCGGCAAATATTTGCATTTTGGCTCTGAACGGGGCCATGCTCTGAATGGTGTACTTGACATTCACTACCTCTGTCAGCTGCATTCGAAGCTCGACATGCTTCATGCTACCTTCCAGGTGTTGCTCCACAATGTCACGGTATATCAATTCATGCCGTGAGAACGCAAAGGATTGACTTACTTGTGCAAACCCAGATAGCTACAACATGCTTGATTCGGGCCCCGGTTGTATGGCAAATTGCCCAGATGGAAACAGGCAATTCACTGAGCCCCACCCCTCAAACCCCGTGCAAATGACGGGGTGTCACATGACCATAGTGCACCGTGTGAATGTAGTAGGTGCTAAAACAAGTTTGGGCAATATTTCACGATTCCCTTGCGTGTGAGGCGTCTCAAAGGCAAACAAGTGAAACAAAGGCGAGAACGAGCTATGCGTGTCCTGAAATTCTCTTCCAAAAGCAATGCGTGAAGTAATGTTGACCCCGGATCAACAAACCCAGCCCATTAAATGGGGGGTTCCCTTGAAAAGTGGTGAATCCCCACTAAAAGGGAGATCCCCTGTGCTCAAAACTAGCAAAGGGCATAACCTAGATCTGGGGTAACTCATATTTGTGCTCCAAAGCTCAGGTCCGGCCCGAGAAGCAGAGATGATGTTAGACCAATTCACCGCCCGAAGGAGATCTCGGATTCACAAAAAAGGAAGATTCATGGAGTGAACACGGCTCCTCACTCCAGTGCCATCCCGGCGCGCTGCCCATTGCAAACGCCCGCATCGCGAGGTGTTGCAAGGCTTGTGACTGAGCTTCATTTTAGCCCTAACAACTTTGGTGGGCCATAATCAAGGTCGTTCTTCTTGCAGGGCAGAATTAACTCATTCCATGGTCCTCCGGATATTTCCCCAAGTTAATATTTGGCAACTCTGGCCATGGTAGCTTGGGAACGGACCAGATCTTTTCTGCGCAAAAGACCGAGTTTTGCTTCATGACTCATGACTTTCGGGCATTGCCCGCCTGCAGACACATGATTCCGAATGTCCAGTTGACATCGAGACTAGCATTGAGCCTTGGACTAGGTGATGCTTCGAAGGAATCACGGATGAAGCAGCTAGAGCCATGCCTCAAGCAAAACATCTGTCTCAAGAAAGGGGAAGCTTCATGTGCAAGGGTCGCTTTGTAACCCATGCAAAAGAGAAACATCATTCAACCATCCGCTGCCATGCCATGGCCAATGCTGGTTCACATATCCAGGTCGTAGCCGTCGAGCCCGTTGGTGACTCCGGCACAAGAAAGGGAACAACGCCGCAAAAGTCGTGGTCAAACTGCGCCAAACTCCAAGTGGATCTGTCGTTGTTGAGGGTTCCTATTTTTCTGTGGTTGCTTTACCAAAAGGAATCCACTATTTTTGAGGGAGATCCCCCTGCAAAAAGGCACGCCCCATCTGGGGTCAGTGTTCCTTTGAATGTTAAAATGGACCCTAGAATAATGTCAGAGTGCCAATATATATATATATATATAGGGGTTCATCTATTGTTCTGGCCCCAACATGACCATGGATAACTTTTCGCATTTAGTGGTGAACATGATGAACATCATTTGTTTGTCTTTTCTCTAAAGTTTGTCCCACGCAAAGGTCCTTTACAATGGATGACCATAAGGGAAACCACCAAAAAGGATGATACTTCCCGCTAAATGGAAACACTGTAACATGGTCAAAATAGGGTTGTCTCAAAAAGGAGACCTGCAAAATGGTGGTTTTCCTTTCGGTTACGCCTTAAAACAACACAACACATTCCAGCGCCATCCGTCATGCAACTCGCAACTCGCCTGCATTTCAAAGGCGACGGCCTCCTCCTTGTTCTCCGCCTGGCAGCTTACACAACCAGATAGGAAGAAGCGGCAAACATCGCCGAAAGGAAGCTTTGGGAGGTACTTAAAGCGCTCCTATAATGTTCTCAGTTTTCTAGAAAAAACACACGATGAAATTCACAGTTTTGGGGTTTTCAGCATTGGGGGGTGTGGCAATTGCTGCCGTTCTGACGTGCACCGCATGTCGTATCTTCCACCCGAACCACTCCCCAACCCCTCCAGAATTCCCGAAGTGTATTCCCCAACAAAGCTTAAGGTTTTTTTGAGCGCGTGCGAAGGGGATCCATGACCTTGAGAAACCCAAGCATGAACTTTCCAGCACATCCCACAACCAAAAACCTAATCCTCGTACATGGTACATGTCCTTCTGTCGCAAGCTCGCACTGGGAATCTTATTGCAGTTTTATAGGCTGGCAACAACGAATGTGCAATGTCAACTTTTAAATATCGAAGTCTGTAAGATCAGAGATCAAGCTTTGCCAGCTTTTGACAGCCTTTGCACGGTTGAAGTCCATGAGCCCTTCACAAAAGCTTGGCCACGCACCGATACCACGCAGGCACGCAGGCTCCGGCCAGCCCCTAACGAAAACAAGCCCGCAGACTTGCAACAACATCAACATGTTCAAAGCTTGGATGACCCTCTTGCCCCTGCAATGAGAATTCAAATAGCCACCCTGCAGCTTCTGATTTGGGGTCAAAAGGCACGGGTTTTCCTTAAAGTAAAGATCTTCAATGGGGTCCAACTTGAAGAAACTCAAAAAGGGGGTCACAAAGCAAGCCTTAAGCCGAACCTTCGAGCAAGCAAACCCGCCTTTAGCCCTCATCAATTTCATTTTTACAAATTCACCAATCTAACAAGTATCAATTTGACACTTTCTCAACCCATCAACTTAGCCCTTCAAATGATCAACTTTGCCCTTGTCGATTTCTCAATCTACCCCTTTCACATTCTCAATTAAGCGCTTGTCATAATCCCTTTCCCCGGTTAATAAATGAGCTGTATTAGTAACTATTGTTTTGTCCCCCAGCCAGTATTTATTAGTAGGGAGAGATGGGGGGGTCCGTGAAAAATTGGGGGTCAGAGATTCTTCATGATTCTTCCACGTGCTTAAGCCCCTGGGAAAAATGTGATAAGCTTTCCAGAAGTGACATCGATTCCCTTTCAAACCAACAAGGGGAAATATGTCTTGTTCTTTTCACCCGCAAAATCGTCCCAAACGCATCCAACCGCCTTCTATCCGATGGGGTTCTATCGGGTCGGGCCTCCATAGGATGCACCATGAGCACGTGGTTGGCTGCCTCAAGTGGACCCAAGAGGCCTGGATGAAAGGGCCAAGTGGGTGGCTCGTCCTTTTTTTAGGAAGGGGATCCCCCAGAATGGCGCAAACCGGTTTTCCATTTGTCTTCCCTTTACAAGCAACAACAGAGTACAGTACCCTCAAACAAATACATACCCAATTCTTTTGTTTTGAACCAAAATCAAGAATTGAAGGCCCGTGTGGCAAGAAATTGCATCAATAACGGCCGTTAGAAAGTCGCGCTGTTCCCAGCGTGTTTGTCATCTTTAGCTGGCAGCGGCTGCTGGAAAGAGCCATAACATCCTCAGAAAGGCAACAGTTCTGACATTGATTGACGTCATGCTTCACTGAGCAATCCTGGCTGCTGGCCATAGACATCACAACTGCAACTTGTGCAGGTCAACAAAGGGAACTTGAGGTACCAAAAAGACACACACACACACATACACACCTAAAGCCAAACATCTGGAAAGCGTTTAAGCAAGGTTAAGTAACCAGCAGACTCCCCATCCGAGCTATCCAACCCGTTTTTGTTGCTGGCAGAATGGCCAAGAAGCCGTGAGGTTGGTGCCGCTGGCGGACTCCTCCAGGGAGAGCAGCAGCATGCGGGGCCCTTCGAACTCATACTGGAATTTCCTGGCTCAGGTGCCCTCGTTTGGGTTTGGAGCCCGGTTTGGTTTGGTGAAACGAGAGGGGAAACCTCATTCAAACCCCTCAAGAAGGGGCTCAATTCCCAATCCAAAATTTCAGGGTTGCCCGACAAAAAAACACGGGCCAACGGTGTTTGGCAACCAACCGGTTGAGAAGGCATGTCAAAC